ACATTTTCTATTGTGCACGTTTCTTGTTTAAAGTTAAGTGTTGTTGCCTTGTTGTTTATACAGTATATTTAATCAAATTCTGCAACAGTTTCTCTAGAATGGCTGCCATTTCCCTAATATTGTATCTTTGATGGCATTAACATACTGAGCAGGCACCCAATAGATCCAATATCTTGATGCTTCTGTTGGACCCAACTGGATGGCCTGAAGAAGAAGAAACAATGAGATTGTGTTAAGAGGTAACTGAAAGTGTTAGACATACTAGGATGTGGTATTCTTCATGGCCTTCTATAGCTTCTGATACTACATTCTTTATTGAACCCATTGGTATCTTTTCAGTTCGTTCTAAAAGAAGGAAAGGAATGCCATCAATACTTTTAAAGATACACTACTAATGACAGACTGCAGTAATCAGGGGTGTAAAGTTGTGACATTTATCAGCCTTGGACAAAGAAAGGAGTAAATTCAAGTCACTCTAGAAATGTTTCTTACAAAAAAAGAACATACCTTTTGTCCCAAGCCATAATTGGTCGAGTTCTAGTTTAAATGTTAGTCTTACTTTACTGCCATATTTATTATACATGCCAGAGAGTGGCACATTTGGTAAGCTTTCCTAAAAAAGGAACAGTACAATATRTATCTATGTGAGCAGGGTATTAACATCAAGGAAGGATACAACACTATCACAAAAGAGAAAGAAAATACATTTGAGGGTACCAATGGTTTATTCTACAAATAACTGAAACAAAATATATGAAAAAAGCAAGMATAACAAACTCACCTTTCTATTCTTTATTCCAGGTAAAATATCATCTGGTTTCCCTTTATCCAACACTTTTTTATGCATCTAATGAAATAAATAATTGGTTTGATTTACTCTCTTCAACATGCATTCCCAGAGCAACTAAAACACACAAGACCTTTTGCTTGCAAAGTGGTTCTTTTGTTGATGCTGGAAGAAACAATGTGTTCAAGGATGTTAAAATATTCTAAATATTTTCAAAATATAATGTAAATTTATCATTTGTGTAAGTTAACACTGATTTCTTTCAAATTCAATGATTGTGTATGTTGAGAATGATGGCACAAAATCTTTGGGGGGGAGGGGCCTGGCCACCCACATAACAGCATCGGTTTTGTACATAAAACATAATGTATATTTCAAATTTAACAATAGATTTCTTGTTGTCTATATTTGTGACGTCATCACTATAAGTCTATGACTGTGCCTTCAAGACAATTTTGGCTCTGCCACCCCTGCACTGTTCAMGCTGCAATCTTACCTGTAGCTCCCTTTTCCTCTTTTATCTGACTTGGAGCTGGAGGAGTAACCTTTAATACATCATTTATAGTTGATCCAACAACCATCATTTTACATCCACTGGTAATATTCACATCACGTAATATTTTTGTGCCATCCTTTAAGAGACCTATAAGCAAGCAATGAAGGGTGATTTTTATCTAGACATAATGAGATTGTATTTGACATATTTTGCAACATACCTTTRTACATAAGCTTCTGCATAGAGACAGGTAAACCTAGAAAAATATGATATTGTGACTCTTGAACAAGAATRATCTTCAGTGTACAATATTTTAATGATTGTTTTGCTCTTCTTAGTTTTGGCTGGTGTTTTTTTATCAATTATCATTCATTCTTTTTTTAYACATATTTTTCTTTTCAACTGCAAATGCACAACTGATACAATTTTATGATTTTAAAGAAACAAACCACGTATTGAGCTTTTTTTAATTTTTGTACCTAAGTTATATCACCCTAGATATTTTCTTCAAGGTCAATTTTGTTTACGTATTCAAAACAAGAATGTTAAAATGATATTAAAATAAGTTAAAAATAGGGGAATAAGTAGGTCAAGGCAATGTAAATATTGACAMAAAGGATTGATTAACAAAGTGCAAACCTGTCAACCCTTGTATATGTTCTTTGAGTTGGTCGACAGTCAAGCCGACATCAAATTGGACATCATAACTCTTCTTGTTCCAAACAACACGAAAATTCACTAATTCAGGTGGAGTTTTCTCTAAATCTTCCTCGTCAGCCGAGTCTTTTTCTTTCTCTTCCACACTAAGTTGTTCTTTAGCACTAATAGACGACTCTTCGTTGCCRCAGTTGTCATTACTGGTMATATTGTTTTCAATCTCTTCTGAGAAAGTTCCGATTTTTTCTTGTTCGTTTGTGTAAATCTGTTCATCATTGCTGGCGGACGACCCAGCTAAGAGATAAAAACACAAGAAATTATACCCTTCTTAATYAGTATTGTAACAAACCACAGGCTAAGCAAATCAAAACTAATATGTAATAATAACACAAAAATCAAGATATTCACATCTCACCTATTTCATCCGCCATTTTGAACTTTCCCCGAGCATGTCAACCACAGGAAGCCCGTTAGTGCTTTGGAAAACGCTTTGTCATTTCCATCTTTTACTTTATCAATGAAAGCCTATTTATTTGATGATTTCGATGCACTCGGCATTTTCAATTAAAAAAAGTAGCTAAGGAATTATATAGCTACATCTCATTCATTTCTTCAATTTCTTTTAACTTGCTCGGGCTACCTGTGTCAAAAGAAGGATCCAAAATGGCTGACAAACCTGAGAATGCTCCTCAGCGTAAGATCATGCTTTTAGATTTGCTATAAACAACCTTTGGTCTAGATATTTAGTCAAAGCAGCTKTGAATGTACTATAATTCGGCATAATAACGTTTAAGACTACAGGAATTTATYGTTGTTTCATTTTGCAGATTGCCCAGGAACCTCTAGTGAGGATGCAGGTAAAGTTTCTGCTTGTCAAGGGTGTCCCAACCAGTCAATATGCGCTTCCAGTAAACCAGCTGGACCAGATCCAGGTAATGGTTAGAATTATGAATAATAACTAGCCCAGTTCTGATAATTCATGATAACTACTGTTGTTACATCTTGGTAGAAGGAAATAGTTTCAATTTTTTGTTTTGGCAGACCTTGCTAAGATCAGAGAAAGACTATCATCTGTGAAGCACAAAATTCTGGTCCTGTCTGGAAAAGGTGGTGTTGGCAAGAGCACATTTACATCACATCTTGCACATGGACTTGCAGCTGATGAAAACAGACAGGTGTGTTGTCACGTTCATTTGTTCCAGCTCACTCCCATTCTCATCCATCTGTCTACCAGCTCCATTGATCACCTTTATTTTCTTCTATCCTCCATTTTTTCATTCATTCTATCATTCCTTTACTAATATTTGACTGCACATCAATCTGTTTATTTGTAATACAACCAATATTATTTTCTTATTTCTTCATTCTTTCTTCTTCTTTCATTTGCTCATTCTTTCCTTGCACTTTTTCATTTATTTTTGTATTTTTTATATTTTCATCACTTAATTTGTGTATTTATTGCCAGGTTGCTGTCCTTGATATTGATATTTGTGGACCTTCAATTCCGACAGCCATGGGTTTGCAAGGAGAACAGGTTAAGCCGCACTATTTTTTTKATAATRTAAATGTCATCAATGCCTTTAACAATAAACATTTTTAAATAGGTTCATCAAAGTGGATCAGGTTGGTCACCAGTGGTGAGTAGAAGCATCAAAATAAGAAATAAAAAAAGAATGTATGGCTGAAAGGTCTCACTTCATCCTTATAGTCTGTCTAAATAGTCTGATTGGGGGCATCRCTAATGAATCATGTTTTGTAGTATGTAGAAGATAACCTTGCTGTAATGTCTGTGGGATTCTTGCTTGAAAAGCCATCAGATGCTGTCATTTGGAGAGGTCCCAAGAAGAATGGTAAGTGTACAAAAATTAACATTCAGTTCTCCATACCTCTTAGTCTAAGTATTGTAAATAATTGTACAATTCCTGGTCTGGGATTGTAGTTGATTCTACCTCCAATAACAGATATCAGAACTGTTGTTGGCAGTCTGAGAATAGTAAATATTGAGTTTTGTTCAAGTCTGAGTCATCAACAACACAAGTTTTTTATTATTTAATTTTATTTCATTAGGACTTATCAAACAATTTTTAAAAGATGTTGACTGGGGAGATGTTGATTACCTGGTCATTGATACACCTCCTGGAACCTCAGATGAGCACCTGTCAATCATCCAATACTTGCAGCATACTRATATAGATGGTGCAGTTGTTATTACAACACCTCAAGTATGTAGTAACAAAACCCTAATGATGAGTGTTGATATGTGCTCATTTATCATTAATTAAAATTGTGTTGTTGCAGGAAGTGTCTCTTCTTGATGTTCGTAAGGAAATCAGTTTTTGTAAGAAAGTCAAGCTTCCTGTAATAGGTGTCATCGAGAACATGAGTGGATTTGTGTGCCCAAAATGCCAGGTAGGGAAATCAAATTCTCATACTCATTAATCATTCACGAGGTATCCAGCCAATCCCTGATTGTAATTTGTACCACGTGAAGTAACTTGAAACCAGAGGAAGTACTCGTAACTTGTTTACTACCTTATTTCCATTTACATCTACCTTTTTCAAGTTACTTCTACATTATTTCCAGCTATTTCTACCTTGTTTCCAGTTACTTCTACCATGTTTCCAACTACTACTAGCTAATGATAATCAAATTATTAGAAATAATCAGTTGAACATTAATTTAGTGAAAAAAGGTCTTTGATACATGACTCCCTGACGACTCCATCCCCTACCGTCCAGTCTATATGCGCCTTCTTATACCATTACGCCACCGAGTTTCTGATGCAAAACCTTGGAAGATAACATACTTATAAATTTTATGGATTAAGCTCATTAGGAATGCCATGAATAGCAGACAAAGACAATTTGAATAGCTTTTGTTTCAGAAAGCCGTCCGGGAATTGAAGAACAACAAACGGTGGTTCATGTATTCAAAATTATGAAAACTGAAAACCTTAGTGGAGATGCAATAAATCAATATATTTCTGTTATATGCATTTCCTTCGCTTTTTTTCCCCTCCCGAATAATTAATGAGTATGAGAAGTCATTCAAAGTCCTCCAATTCGGACTGGACGGGATTTCAAGTCCTCATTGTCGGACTTTAAACATTACATGAATGTATGGAGCATTATACTTTGAGGGTTACCTGTGCAATATACATCTATCTCTGACAGACTGTAAATTTTATAAAATTTTAAATGAAATTTGTTTTGTTTTTTATTGCTTCTTTTTATATGCAGAAAGAATCTGAGATTTTCCCAGCAACAACAGGTGGAGCAAGAAAAATGTCTGAAGAAATGAAAGTGCCATTTCTTGGGAAAATACCTCTCGACCCTAGAATAGGTTAGTTTTCAGACGATTGCTTTTGAAAATGGCTATTAAAGGAAGTATGATAACAGTATTAGCTAAGAATGACAAGGATGGTGCTATTAATTATGGCATTTATCATATGATGATTGAGTTAATTAATATTTTAATTATTAGTAGTCGCAATTCATTTTATCACTAAAAACAGTAGAAAATAATTCTTCTCAAGATAAAAAATRCATGTTATTGTCTATAGGCAAATCATGTGATGAAGGAAAGTCATTCCTGAGTGAAATACCAGACTCACCAGCAGCCAAGGCATATAGCAATATCATACAAAGTAAGTTCTTMCTTAGGCCCTGAAAAAATTGTCGCAGCTGCAGCAGAAATACAATCCAATTTTTATTAGACTCAATATTTTACTTGGGACATTGCAGTACATAATTATGAGTCTTATCATTTTGACAATATAACAAAATTTATGCGCCACCCTTCCACGACTTAGCAAAATAGATTGATGTCTCAATCTATTTTGTCCATGATTGTTGCAACTTTTATTAAAATTCGCTCATAAAGATAGCTGCGTTTATCTTAGTTACTTCCGGAGATRGGCGGAGACATGATTTATTTCTAATTTTATTCAAAGGACTGTGGACGATTGTTGCCTGACGGCATATATTCCAATTGTATCTAAAAGCTAATACTTGYTGKAACCCCAAAACACTTCGACAGTAGCTTCGTTGTATTTCGTTTGTTGCTTGCACAAAAGCGAAAGTCTGAAAACAATTAACGCGAACAAATTAATGAGCATTCATTCGCTCTCTTGAGACTCCGCGTTATGCGTGCGCAATGACAATGCTACCCTAATCCCGTTAGGTCTAAGCAACGAATTGTGTTGACTGTCTGTCATGCACTGTTTCGCCGTCTAAAAATGCGAGTTTGTTAAAAATCAAACCARAGAGGTTTTTGTAAAAAAAAATCAATTTTTAAAATCTAAATTGCTCTGCTGTGCGTGTGGGAAGAAGCTAAAAACTAACAGCGCGGAACATGCGCATTTGTCAGCTGCAGCTAGTGGGCGTGTTGTGCAGGTTGCTAATTAAGTCACTGATGATGGATCGATTGATCCGAATGCTCGGACGTACATCTAAACAAAGCTGTTATTCATAAATTATGAATCCTAATTACAGAGAAGTCTTAAGACTTGTTTTGCATCATAGTTGGCTGCCTATCAAAAAATGCATTTACTTGGCGCAAAACATCTGAGTGTAGGRAATCTTAATTAAAGTCACCCATTTCACAACAAGGCGCTGGAGTAAGCTCCGCCCTCTTTTCACGTTTCAATGCTCCACTCAAGTTGAACGTGCAAGAGTTTTCGCAATGTTGATAAAATAAACAAAATCATAAGATAAGCACACTTTACTAATGTTAAATTATACGTGTTTTAACGATGTGTACATAACTAGCAAACACTAATCTTKGAAAGTGAAAAAGAAGTGACAGGAAAGACAGGAAACAAGGTATTARACTCAATATATCGATCTTTCATTTTAGATGTGATCGAATATTGTTCAACCAGCTGAAACATGACCAGTCAACTAGTAGATCCTGTATACTTAATGGTGGCATGGAAAGGGCGGCAAAATTTGATATGCTCAACTTGCGGTTTGGTCGCTACACCTTGGAAAGGGCGGTAAATTAATTGAATTGATCTACATCTGTTACCCTACATGTTGTATGGCTCGCTACTACATGTAAAGGACCGTTAAATCTACTAAATTGATCTATACATGTTTGATATAATTAGCGGCATGATAACGCAAAGGTGAATACGAACACAAATTTTGTTGAGGACCAAGTTTTCAATAAAGAACAGACAATTCATTTCAGAAGCGTTGCTGCCTCATGTGGTACGAATTTCTGTGATAGGACAGGTTTTACCGGACAGAATCACTTGACAATAAATGGCTGAAAGGTAGAATGGACGTGGTACTAAGAACATTATTTGTTTTGTGAGCTGGACGTAGTCAAATCAGGCGCCATCTTGCAAATAAGGGTGTTTTTTTTTGTTCAGATAAAAGTGTAAAACGCTAAAATGTATTTCAAGTGTTTATAAAAACCATTCTAAAATTGAACAAGTGGTCTTGAAACGCAAACACTGTAAATGTTCCTCAGCTATCTACACAGGCTGCACAAAGAAAGCACATCAAATAAAACAACAGATAAGAAAACAACGGGAAATGATCTATAATATTTTTTTGTGAAATATAAGATTGTTCGAGATACTATCATAAATTAAACATGCGTGGGAAGAAGGCTAAGGAGAGAATTGAATAAGGAAGGAAAGAAAAGAACCGAAACACAAAACCGGCAAATGAGAGAAGGCTGGGGAGGATAAGCAAGCAAATAATAACTGTTTCGCGCAATTTATTAGAATCACTGCTGCTCGAAGATTAAACGCTATTTATCGGAATAATAAAGTATAATATCCATATTACTAAAAATAAATGAATCCTCTGCGTTTACTAGTGATATTTTTAATACCGAGCTTTCGGCCTAAGCGGCCATTATCAAGGTAGAGTACACCGCAAAAAACGGAAAGCGCGCGAGGAAACACAGCAATACAGCGCGAGCTAATTACAATAGATAAAATGTAAATGAAATGGAATGAAATATCACTGGTAAACGCAGAGGATTCATTTATTTTTAGTAATTGTGCCTGCGTACAAAGAAATTCTAAATATCCATATTGTTAACATATATTTCATTTCGAGAAACATTGAGCTGACACATTGACGCATCTTAGTAATCGTACTTATTACATCACTATTTATATAGTACCCTTCCTAAAGCAAGTGTTGTTATTTTCCTTTCTCTGACTCTGTGTCTTTCAATTTGTGTTTACGTAAATCTCTGTCCAGACTTTGTTCCTCTGATGTCCCTTGAATACGTGCTGTGCACTGACCCAGWCAAATCCAGTCACCATACCTCAAAAAGTTGTAAAATATGGCAGGCGAGTCCGAATTTCACCTGGTCACCATCAGACAGCTAAGATGCACATATGAAGTGAAGAAAATACTTGGCATACAGCTAAATTTCATAACTTGATATAGTACACTAGCAAACTTCCCAAAGCCATTCTTTGTCGGTGTATTCATCACCAGAATGTATCCATTAATTTCGTGGGCTTCTCAATATGATAGTATGGTATTATTCTCTTCATGCTCTTTTCCCACGCTTATTACATTAAACTAAACGAGAAAAGATCCCTATGTAACTATAGTTACAGTCATCATTCTAACCCTATCAAGTTTTATTTCATAAAAGCGATAATTTTCTTTAAAATTGCAATCAGGATTTATCAATAACGTTGAGAAAAGTTGTCTAGGCCTTGTTTCATATATTTGGTAGGGATGTTGTGAGAAAATGATGCCAAAAGCTTTCTAGCTGTTCAGTCTCATTTTTGCGTGTGCCATTTGGTATTTAAATTTGCGCGTGCATATGTCTTTTCACACTGACGTATCGACCAAAACGTCTGTCAAAAGTCAGAGACAACTATTATCAAGGTACTTATTTTCATTCTAACCTATCGGAAATGCAATGTTAATCACTATAGTCAAAATATTTAAACTATTAATATAGTGGAAAAATTGCTTTTATCGGGCAGCGGTTTAGATAGCAACCTGTTTGCTCAGTTATWTTTCTCAAAGTGGGAGTCAATCATGCTGGGATTCGACAAACAGGACGCAATTTTAATTTGTGAAGCCTTTCTCATGMTCTATAGGGSRTCGAGAAAATTTTTTCAGGTTACCATTGATGAATGGCATGAAATTGCATCTCCTCTTTTGATCCTTTCACTGGACACATTWCATTTGCTTTGAAAAGATATGAATATTTCTTAGAAAGTGATGAGCACAGCATCAATTTCCTTACAGTATGTAAAGCGAATTACATTTAGCTTTTCTTTATCTATACWCTTTTTGTAGTCATGCTCGAATAAACGGTTTGATTATAWTTTTTTAGTTTTGACAAGTGTTGTAATGTAAGAACAGTGGCCTTTTGAGGGTGTGCAGTTTCAAGTCAGATGAGATGTCAATCACGCCACGTCATTAAAGTTTAACTTCGAACAGACGCTCTACCAATCAACGCAGTCATCGTCAAAACAACTAACGGAGTTTAAACAGCAGACTAGAAATAATTGCATGATAAACGTGTAGTGTTCGGCAAAGCAGGATACGTAACCATTYAGAACGAATCAGGAACAGATTTGTGATTTTACTCTGGGTTATTTTACCTATACCGTCATAGATTTCAAGTCTTTCAGCTTGGACGAGTACAGATGTCKACCGCAAACTTTGTTTTGATAATCTTTGAATTTCTTTTCTTCATTTGGTGTTTTGTCGATCATGTCGTACCGCAAATTCACCAAAATTACTGCGTTGTCGGAGCAGGGCCAGGAGGTAAGAACGCATTACGTGTTGAAATCCTTTACATACTTGGGATCGTGCTGATAATATCTAATTCTCAATTGTATTTTTCCTTGTTTTYTAGGTCTTCAGATGGGATTTTTCCTGCAGAAAGCGGGCAGAGACTATATTATATTTGAACGAAGTGGAGTGGCAGGTATTTGGGATAAACATGTGTTTCTTTGTTGATTTATTTGGGTCGACACACAAGGCCTTAGTGAACAAAATTTTATTCGCTTTAGTGAACAAATTATATTCGCATTGATCAAAAGTTCTCTGAAGTCGAAATGCACTCATCTAACGTTAAAACTAAATTTTAGTCATGATATTAAGCTTACTTTAATTGTTTTTTTTTTCGCATATGACTGTACTAGCAGATTATTTATTTTGGAAGTAGCATCGTAAATCTTAGCATCGTAAAAGTTGTCATGCTCACACTGAGCCGTTTCCATGTAAGCTTTAAATACGAGTGGGATGTTAAATTGCTTGAGGACAAAACATTCTTTCCGTTTGACACAGTTGTTAAGACTGCGGAGAAAATAATTTTTTTATTTGAGGAAGACCTTTTGAATTATAATAATTTGATAAGTATTTTACATGTAAAAGAGACGATCAGCTTTTCCGGTTCAAAGCGGAAAATCTAAAAACGAAACGAACAGCGATTCTCCATTGCAATGAATAACTGACACGTGAGTTAATAAGTCGGAAAATTTCATTCTTTTAAGAACCCTTTTGGTAATTTCAAAACTATTATCGCAATTTCTTGTCACTCTTATTTTTYACATTATGTATGAACTGAAATGAATTACATGTAATCTTGATATGGACACATTTGTGAACCTCTTAAATTGATTTTGCTCGAAATCGTTAGTGAAAATTTCAACGGTGTTATGTAATACATCATCACTATAAGCTTATGTTATTGCGCCAAAAATGAGGCGCCAAAAATAATTATTCCATATAAGGCTTTCAAACCTATGATTGATTCAAATTATTCACGCTGAGATAATACACCGGTATATTGATTGTTTAAAGTTGAACCTAGCTGGAGGTCAATGACTCCATCTCCTTTACTGTCTTTACCATTTTATCACAGTTTGCACTATCATCAAATTTACAGCTTTTTGTAACTTAGGTTACTTTCACTCAAATTCCTAAAAAAGAATTATCTATATATTTTATGCAAAATTATTTCAAGGTCTTTTTATGAGTACTGTGATTGTGCATGTTGTTATGTATGTAATGTACTACTGTAACACAGCTTTTTGTAACTTAGGTTACTTTCACTCAAATTCCTAAAAAAGAATTATCTATATATTTTATGCAAAATTATTTCAAGGCAATAATTATAGTATTAATAATAATAGTTCAAAGGCTTTCAAATGTAAAATTGCCAATTACCCAGTCACTCAAGACACATGACCAATGAAATTTCCTTTTTAAAGAATGAAAAAAGTCCTACTGATCACTTGCCAACATGGTCTGCAGTGCTCGCTATGACTGCTGGGCAAATTAACCCTTAGATTTTTGAAGAATGAGAAATGGGTCTCCTATAAATAATATATATGTTTGTACCAGAAATCGTTGCAGGCACTATGTGACAGCAGACTGCAGTGGCAGTGATTTTTGATAAAAAAGTGACAGGTATTCTAAAGCTAAGCCACTTTTGTCTTACAAAATTTCAATACCTTCATTGCATGTATGATTTCCCAAAGTCTACTTGGTGTTAAAYGTTGTTTGTAGACACAGTCCCTAAAAATAGTTTTTTAAAAAAGATTAAGTTTGGTGATCAATGCAACCAGGATTACTGAAGTGCTTACCAAATTTTGCACCAAGGACAAAAATCCTAGATCTGCTCTTTTGGAACACKTTTGATTGCTATAGTAGTACAAAAATATACAATATTATATCATTTTCAGCTTAATGCATGAACACAAAATAGGGGAGCAAAATACTTGCAAATTATTTTATAAAAGTTTTATTTAGTGAATTATGAATTTAAAAGATTCACGGCTTAATAACATGTTTTATATAATAATCAGCACTGTTGTTGAATAAACAATAAAAATATGGCATTATAAACTATTTAAAGGATGTAGTGTTTGTTATATCTTTATCATTTCCTGTTTCCTTGGATTTGTTTCTCATAAGATAATGATTTTGTTTACACAAAATAGTGAAATCTAAACTTCTGTTTTCCCTTGTAAAATGATGCTGGTTCATTTAATTCTTTGTTCAATTGAATTTGTTTTATATTTCATTTCTTTTATTCTATTTTTTATTTTTTTATTATTATTTTTTTTGTCTACTTTCAGGTTCCTTTTATGTTAAATTCCCAAGACACAGAAAGCTAATTTCTATAAATAAAAGGCATACAGGTATATTGGAACCATTTCTTAAATTGTAATGAGTATATAGATAAACTAGGAATTCACAGAAGATTATGAATTACATTTTTTTACATTGTAAAAAGATGAGAAAATAAAAGGGGTTAGGGGGTCTCATGTTCCCTGTTGCAGCTTAATATGGCTTATAATTCACTTGATTATAATATTCTAATAAATGATAAATTTSAAAACATAAAACAAGGGATGAATGCAACATTGATGWTTAACATTGTTGTTATGTCCAGGTAAACCCAACAAGGAGTTCAATTTACGGCATGACTGGAACTCCCTGATCAGTGATGATGAGTCTCTGTTGGTGAAGCATTATTCAAAGGAGTTTTTCCCCAAAGCTGATGACTATGTGAGTATCTCTTCAACAATAATATATTSTAAAATAATTAAAGAATAGTGAATTTGCTTCAGCGCACTTCTTGGCTTAGCATATATTTTGTATGATTATACAATATGCAACAGCATCATTRGTATAAATACACGCTACAATCACAACTTCAACTGATGTTGATGCTAAAACATTCAGTAGAGAAAAGACTACAGTACAGTTGCCATGACTGTATATAGCTGAAGTTAGTATTATTTTTTGTTTTTAGGTAAGATATCTCAATGACTTTGCAAAGAAACTTGAGCTCAAAGTACAATACAACACTGATATCAAACACATCTCTAAACAAGAAGATGGACAGTTTTACTTGAAAGATAGCAATGGCACAGAGTACAGTTGCAAATACCTTATTATGAGGTAACAGATATTTACCATTATCAAAATTGACTTWAATGTTATTTCGATATATTTGATTAAGGCAATAAAGCAAGAATTTTCAATAGTTTCTCTAGTATTTACATGCAATATGTAATTTTTTTATTATTTCTGTTATTCAAGCACTGGAATAGCAGTTGAAAATATTGGCAGGAATTTCAAAGGGATTGAATATACAGAGGTAACACTGAGAAAGGAAAGAAATATTAGCTTATAACAGAAAATAACCAAGATATTCTTTTAGAAATACAGTGAAATATCTACCAACCCTGATGACTATGAAGGTCAAAGTGTGCTTATAGTTGGAAGAGGTATAATTTTAATTTATATATTTGAATTTGCTGCATCTAATGTTGAGACACAAATAATTATTGTGAGTCCCTCTAGACTAGTTGTGAAGACAGAGATGTGAATATAATTTGATCATTTGGACAACATATCAACATACATGTACTTCCTGTGAATTACCTGTTTAAAGTTTTTCCAACTTGCCTTGGTTTTAGGAAATTCAGCATTTGAGACTGCAGATAGTATCATGGGAGCCACAAACCTTGTTCATATGATATCAAGGTACTTTTAGTAATATCAGATAACAACAGATAACAACATAGATGGCAGTTATGAAGAGGTTTCTTGATTTTCTATAGATCACGCATTCGTATGGCCTGGGAAACACACTATGTGGGAGATTTAAGGTAAGCTGTAAACGCAATAAAGCATCCAGGCTTTACATTAAATATCTTTCATGGTTAACTGGTTTAACTCTGTTTTTTAGAGCTATTAATAATGGAATTCTGGACACCTATCAATTGAAATCATTAGATGCCTTACTTGGTGAGTAATGAAAACAACAACTTCTGTAAAATAATAGAAGATTGATAATAATATTTGCTGTTGTTATATTTTAGAGGCACCAATTGAACAACTTGCAGTAGTAAAGAAGGACAACAAGCTTTATGTGGATGCTTATGATGGTGATGGTAGCAATGCAATTCCGACAAGATTTAAGCAGAGTGGCCAACGTAAGTATATTTTCTCTCCCTCTCTCCTTGATWATTTACTTCACACACTTTCGTTCCCTTCCATTATTCTCTTCATCTTTTATCTCTTTATATCAATTTGCTTTTTCTTGTTTGTTATTAATGACCATCTTAGTAATAAGCACTAAAAAAAATTCCCATTATAGTTAACTTGACCAATCATGATTATGCCCATCAGTTATTTCAGTTTGTTATTAATTGCAGCTGACAATTTTGCTATTCGAGAGCCTTATGATAGAATCATACGCTGCCTGGGTTTTCAGGTAAACTGTTTAGTGATACATGATAGAACCTTGATGTTGGTGATTATAACATAGCAGTATGCTAATAATAGTGATGATGATGGTGGTGATCACTGATAGATGTGACATTTGCAATGATGATTTTGTTGATGATGTCAATGACAAGGTGATTATGCAACCTCTTTTGCAAGCRAATCTTGGTATAAGAATTCATTTTTCTGTCTTACTCACCCCATTCTTCCTCAGGCATCAAATTACTAAACACGCGTGGTGATTTTTATTGATTTTCAATTTTCTAGTTTGATTTTTCCATTTTTGATAATGCAACAAATCCTGGTCGATGCCAAGGTACGCGGGTAAAGAAATATCCAAACATCAAACCCAATTATGAAGCAAGCAAAGTTCCAAACATGTACTTCTGTAAGTAGAAATGACRTGATGAATAAAGGCAACTTATATTTATTTCATTTGCTGCAACTGTTCTTCTTTTATTTCCAGCTGGAACCAATACTCATTCCATTGATTTTAGGAAATCAGCTGGTGGTTTCATCCACGGGTTTCGATACACAAGTAAGTATTTCTATTTATTAGAGTCTTGCATTAGAAACTCGTTTTACTTTCATACGTGGAAAAATTGACGATAAGTTGTGTGTCTTCTGCTAAATTATAGCACACATTGACATGTTTCAGCTCGAGCCTTACATTATTTACTGGAATGGAAGAACCATGGGGTTGTATGGCCTCATGTTGTTGTCCCTTATCTTGATCTTATGAACATAATTATAAAAAGAATCAATGAAGCTTCGGTAAGTAATCAATGACTTTTCGCCTTTTTCCCTTCGCTGACTGACACTCCATATGTGTTGATCTCAGGACATCTATCAGATGTTTGGTGTTCTTGGCGATGTTGCTATYTTGCGTAAGTAATTTAACGTCAAGCATTTTTTTTCATAAAAGACATCATATCTGCGTAGGCCTGCGTTGAATGCTGTTTTTTTTCGAAATGTATAGAAAATGAAACGCTTGTCATCAGACAGGTAACTTACGAAGACAAGACAAGGAACTCCTCCCTGCATTAATCCAGTCGTAAACCAAATGCAAAGCGGGTTCCTTTCGTTATTTTTTTCCGTTTGCACGAAGCCGTATTCGTAGACGTTTCTCCTGTAATATTCAACACGAAATGCAACAACAACAACAGTTTTATTAATAATTTCACTCTACAAAATTACAAAAAAATCCTTTGCCCTCGCAAATGCATCTCCATATATGGAAATATGTTGCCATATTTGGTAAAATGTCCTTTTTCCCATGTTAATAGGTGATGATGGTCAAGTTGCTTACTTCGAGTCCTTTCCCGTCAAACTTGTAAACGAATTCCAAAGTAAGCAGAGAGTCTTTATAATCATTGATAGTKCGAATTGGCATGCTAATTAGATCTCATTTCCACATCTCGTAGAACACACAGGGTACCCAGAAGGACCAATGATTGTTCTCAACATGGAATACGGCAAAGACTTCTCTGGCGCTGGGTAAGGTTGTCTTATAGTGTAAAATAAAGAAAACATTGAAATTGAAGWATATTTCTTGTACTTTAGCAAAGACACCTTTAAGTCTGACAGAGCGACAGGCGAGCCATCTGAAGCTCATTTATCAAATTTTCTTCATCCTGTGTTTTATTTCTACCGAGAACCACCCAAAGGTGAGCTTTCTCACTATGCAACTTACTGCACAGACAACATCAGAATAGGATGCAGTTTCTTGTAGTAGCTTTGCCAGTCTTGTTCAGCTCCTAATTTAAAACGCTACATGTTCAATTAACATATACTGCTATTCAAGCGCAGCTCAACCTGTAACAGATTATGATTGAAATCCTCTTCTCATATCGAGTAAAATTGTGTGTACTTGGACATTTGAAGTCATATCAATTTATCAAGCAAATTACATGTTTGTTTAGAGATGGATATCGATGGAAATAAGATTAATTTACCTCGTCCTGATCGTATTCATCACATTGTAGAAGACTTCATCACCTTGTGGTAAGTGCTGCGACTGCATCTACACTAGTTAGCCAAGACAGTCGTTAGCCAACTTCTAAACATCGAACATGGACTCTCCACATGTCGACCATACCGACCTTTTACACATAGATGATTAGTTCAAAAATTAATTGATGTTGACTGATTAACTGATATATTATTTCCTGGACGCAGAAAAGTGCGTTTTAATGGCATTAAAAAGTTTTGCTGAAATGACTATTTTCAGGACTGCTCCAGAATCTCACCTTCTGCCATTGCGTCGCTTTTTTGAGTACGTTAAGAACCAGGATCTCCGCCATTTCTTTGCAAAATCGTGCTTCAAGGTGAGATGACCAATTTATCACTATTCATTTTTCCATTTCCCATATTCTCTTATTCTTTCAACCATTTATGTCATCCATTCATTCACTTAGATGATGATGACACACGAAACAATCCCCGAATCTTGTCAACTACATTACTTACAAAGTGAGTATAATTAGAAGTTTCATGTTTATTTATTGATGTCTTTGTATATACTCTCTCTGGATGCTTGCATTTCTTCTATATCAATAACATATCGTTTCACCAATTCGGTGATTGATTTCTTCATACTTGAATGTTTTAGATCAAGGTCTTCCTGGAACTCAAATGCTGTTCGAGGCTGCRCAGTCACTCACTGTCCAGTTGTAATACAACGACCCGCCATCATAATCCATGGCCAATCAAATCCAACAATAATTAATTAATAATTAATTGTAGTAATTGTGCATTGTTGATTTAAATAACGGCTAGTACTCTTCAACAGTTGTTAATTCAATCGTGTAGTCGTACTGTTATCTAATAAATTATTTAACTCAATAATTTAATTCCCGTGCTTATCATGCACTGTATTAAGTTAACTGAATTATTTAAACAACCACTGTATGTGTAAAATAAAGCATTCTTTTGTACTTCTGGATTCTTTGATTTCTTCACTTCCTGTCGATTATTTTAGTCGTGTTTCCAACCTCTTAACCGACTGTTAATTGATCTTATTGCTTTTGCAAATATGGGAACTCTTTCACTTTGTAATCAAAACCRCACCTTAGAATTAGTATTTTTTTTCACTACTTTTTCTACTTGCCTTACAAGCTACAATTGTAGGTCAAATCTCAGTTTCACTGCGAACAGAGTGTTATTTACCTTATCTCAGTAAAAAATTCTCGATTTTACTGAGGTAAGATATAACACTGTTCGCAGGCTAAGTCTTAGTAAGGGATATGATTTTTTTCGAATCAGTTTATTTTGCAGAGTAATTTATGTCTTGGGGTGTGGCATACTGTAGTATTTCAGTGGTCGTTTTGTGTTAACAAATTTGACGGCCCTTTCCTACTAATAATGGTGCGATTGATAACATAAGTAAAGTATTTGAATAGCCTGCCGGAAAGTGGTCCCAKTACTGCGGTATTTCTTCTAAGCAGGGGTGCAGTCTACATCTACATCTACATAGTTCCAGCACTTGGCAACGTTCATTGGGTTACTAGCTGTATATTAGTATGAGGTCTCATTGACTAGTAACCTTTATACGAACACTACGCCAAGCCGACCTCAATGCTGGTGAGATGAGCCCTGGCCACACCACCGGGAACTCCGTGCCCTACTCTTAGTCGAATAGTGCTAATGAGAAGTGTAGAGAGACGGGACCTCMATGAGAAGTGTAGAGAGACGGGACCTCCGATTTAACGTCGTTATCCGAGAGGACGTGAAGATCTTACCATTTGCAGATGGAGAAACAAGGGCAGCAACTTCTACTCAATTATTTTAAGACCCTGAGTATTGGTCCGGCCAGGGTTACGTCACGTAACGCGTTGGTGTAAACCATTGTCATTAAACTGAGTAAGATAGTCAAATGAGAACTAAACGCCAGAGAGACTTTTGGACATTAAAGAGTGATACGATGAGATAAAAACATTAAAACAGGGAAAAACCTTCTTAACATACACTCTATCGTCCAATACGTGCGCGTGCAATAAGGATTTCAGKTTGCGCATCGATCGTGTTTACATTTTTGTGAGTTAAGAGGGTAAACTCATTATTAGGTTTCCTTTCAAATTGCTCTCAGACTWAACAGTCTGAACACTTTTACGTTGAATAGTCTTTATGGTCACCACAAAATGACATTATTTTGACTGACGCTCTTGACCTTTGGTTGTTTCGGTCTTATAAATGACAAATGTTACGTTCTATGCAAGTCATATGACACAGTAGGCTGGAGTTTACCCTTACTTTCGAAAACGGTAAACAAAATGGATACGGCCTAAAAGAAGAGATAATCATCCARCCACTGGAACCCAGGGTAATGCACAGATGCCATTTTACTAGCTAATTTACAAGGAGCAATACTTCACTGGGAAAGTTGGTTCCTCATGATACAAGAGAACAGAAACGCTATCATCAAGAAATATACACTAGGTAATGTAATGAAACAAAATTCACTTTTCAAAAAAAGGACTTTTACTATTTTCGTTTGCAAAATGCTACTAATACTTAAAGGTTATTTAGTACATCTACAACCTCATTTTTGACTATGATCCAGAACTGGCTGGATTCCAGATCTAGTGTGAGGTCTCGATTCTGGATCGAAGTTTTTCACAATCTGAGTTAAAAAAAATTAAAAAAATTATTGGTGTCCCCATCATTTTTTTTTTTTTTTAATTAATTGTTTAGCATTCTAAAAAATAATCTAAGATACTATAAGTATAACGAAAACATTTTATGTAAACCAAAACGAATTTCTTCAAAYCAAGGTTCTAACCCACAAAATAGCACAATATTGCATACTAATAGTGCATGAATCTGAGAATGCAATTGTCAATTGCCATACCGTTTGTTTAGATTAAGATTGAGCCTTTTTTTCACAGTCTCCAATTAAAAGATTCAATTTTGTTGGTATTAATATTGCAGAATTTTATTTGGTCCACCTTTTTATGTGCACCAAATTTTTGGTCCCCCCCCCCCCCCCCCCCCTCTCATTTTTAAATCAGTCAGCTGAGAATTACAATCAAGTTCCAACATACACGAAGTGAACTTTGCTAATATATAATCCCCCAACAACCCCCAACGCCAACCCCCACCCCATACACAATGAAAGAACCATAAGAATTTAATGCTAAAACTGTTTGTAAATGATAAAATGAACTCAATATGTATCAGATGTTCATCGGATTTTGTTCCAATGGCTACATAACTTGTTGTTGTGTGATTCTTAGTTTCCGGTGTTATTTTACGGATAATTTGTATAATTTTATGTGAGGATAGTCTAGCAAATATATATATTTATAATCGTGGCAATCCTTTTTAACATGATGAGAAAAATGTTTACAATCATTWAAAAAAAAATGATGAAAACAGAAATTATTGGACATCAACGATGGTAAAGGCCACGGAGAGCGGTGCTCATTGATTGGTCAATGATATGACCGGAAGTAATTGTGCAAGTAATAATAACATGCGTACAACCGATCGAATCTAAACCGCTTCACGACCAATCTTAGAAACCAATGTCTTCAGCTCGATTAGACAGATTCTCTGCTGCTTCCAGTTGTTCACTTTAACGGCTATTGGTCTATCTTTGTAAAGTAAAGGGGGTTTAACGTTTTATCGACGATTGGATGACTAAAGAGCCTTGGAAATCTTAACAATTGTTAAGGTTTTATATGTGGGATTTGGTGTGTGGAGGAGTAGCAGTGTTCTAGCGTTAGGAACTCAAGCTGGTCGTTGACCATATTACTGTAACCGAGCATTTTCAAGTTGTTTCGTCTGTATTTTTCTATGTAGTCATCGAGAAAAGCTGTCTTTATTGTGGATGAGTATCGCAATTCTGTGTCGTGAAGGAATCATGAAGAAAACACGCAGTAAAAGTGTTGCGCTTCGAGATTGTGTTCAWTGCAGCTGTTTGCTGTACATTAGTTAGTCTTAAAGTTATTCAGGACAACTGAATATTTACAGTTTCTTTATTTGCTGGGACGCATTTGCAAGTTTATTTTGCTACAGTGAGTAGCTTTTGCTACGTGGGCAAAATGGCTGGAAAACCACACTCAACAACGGACTTTCTTGAAAGTGTTTCAGAGGACAGCTCCACTCGAGAGCTGGACGAGGTTTTTGGGTACGTTTGTCTCTTAGATTGTTTGTTTTCATTGTTATACCATATCACTATAACTTGTCACTCTAGGCGATATATTTTGAAGAAAGCATTATTTAGCTTGTTTCCGAATTTATGGTTCATATTTCTGGAGGATTTTTTATAAATGCTCTTTTTTCATTTCTTCAGGTCGTCCAAGCAGGCATCCAGTGACTTATGTTCCAAATCTAGAACCGTCAGTGAAAAAGATGTTATTCTTGATATTCAAAAGCAAAAAGAGTACGTATGAATTGAATTTACTGTTTTCTTCCTATATTTACAATGATTGAATTATTCTAATGTCTTTCCAGTTTGCATTAAATAATATACGAATTCACCACAAAATTAATATTTTACATAGCATGGAATTTGAAGCGATTTCTTTACTGATTTCAAGCAATAAATATATATTTTGTAGTTCCAGTTATAGATTTCTATTTTRTAAGAATTTGTAAAAGAAATTTTTACAGGGAATGAAATAATGTCGTTTTATTTTCTTGACATCAATGTATTACTGAATAATTTATTAGTCTCAACCGTGAAAAAGTATTTTATAGGGGCATTATTATCGAAATTAAGTTATAACAGATTTTTGGATTTTTTATTGAAAGACTTTCAGTAATCACTTAAGGAGGACTTCAATATATGCTTGCATGTGACATATCATGTTGTTGTTGACRCTGTACCACCTTACTTTATTCCACAACGGCAAAAAATATTCATAGAAATCTTTGCACTCCGTCGTTTTGTCTCCAGTGTCAGCCATCCTTCTCATGTGTGTTATCAACATTTAATTACACATTGGCATTTGTAACAAATGCTTTACACTTGAGTGATACATTTGAATCTCAATAACTTTTAATTGTATGTAAACAAAATAGTCATTCTAACTTGTCTCTGTGGTCAGCCATACGTGTTAAAAAAACATACTTTGCATTAATTTTTCTATATAAATTAACACTGCCACTTGCTAAGTTTTACAATACAATAACATAAACAGTGATTTTTGTTGACATTAAACACCAAAACCTTAAAGATACTTTCTTCAATGTCTAATCCCATCAAAGCTAATATTGTTGATGTAATTCACTGTCAATAATGTTTTACCATCCTATGGAAAGTAGTGGTACAGTTTCAGCTTTAAGTTTAAGTGGCACTTGGTGTCAACTGACATATTTGCATAATGTCTAACTACTATTTTTACAACTGATCGATGATTTGGAGATTTTGTTTCCTATGAAGCARCTCATGTAGATTGATGATCATTTATATCTTTATATTATATGCTGATGGGTATTTTGGTTCAAGGTAAATCGTATGAGTAATGTGTGTCAATATAAACTATATATCTGATTGATGATATGTCAGCAWGTATATAGGTTTTTATCTTCTTTCAAGCTCCATTTAATATATACCAGTCACAATCCTGTTTGTATTTGCTACTTTATTGTCCTGACCCTGCTGAGTCAATGAGGTGATAAAACTAGTTATCCCATCAGCAGGAGTCTGGGTTGATTTGTAAAATGTTATTTAACATTAATATTCCTTATTGATTATAAAAATCTTTATTGGAATTACATATTGTAAATTATCCAGTCTGGTAGATGAATGACTATTTTTAGAGACCTTAGATTTAGTTAATGAAAATAAATTAATATCAGAATTCAATCTGAATAACACATGTTGAAGAGACACCTCAGTTATTACTGCATTGTTTTGAATTACAAATACCTTTCTGAAGCTGAATTTCATACCTCCTGTARTAACAAAGGAGCATATTGGAGATCATGTTAAAAAGCAATACTACRTGTATAGTTGATATCTGGTATTGAACAAAATGTCAATCAACCTCAAAAACAGTAACACTAGTACAAGAAGACTTAAAATCTGTCAAACTCCTGAAAAATCCCTAGCTCCCATTGAACATTTCCCTAAATGAGCTCATAGTAAGGTGTTTTTATGCATAAAATAGCAATACTAGTTTATTCTTTTCTCAACAGTTCTTGTGTTTTCAACAATTTCCCAATTAATTAAATAGATGCCTATAAACAATGTACACAATATGTTGTTATCATACGAATAGGATTACGAGAAGATTTATCATTTTACTAAGTGTTGTTATCAAAACTGAAAATTTTGTCATTTAAAAGAACAGATAGGAATATCATCGTGTTCATTCTTGATTCATCAGGAACTGTTGTAGACTGAAAATGTTAGGAATTTTTGAGTAATGCTATTGTGTGGGTGTAGATAATGTATTTTAATTATTTTGTTTTTAAGTTTCCTATAGGCTATTCCTACCTAAAATAAATCCGAAAATTGGAAATTTAAAAAGTTCAGTCATTTAACGTTTTAATGATTGTATCTTGAATTTCATATCATATATCATTTGAACTATGAGAATTGGATGCAGGCATATATATTATTAACTTTCCATTTTTACTGTTAGCACATTTTCATTAGAAAACCTGACATGTTTTCAAATTTAAATGGTATATTCTTTTAAATTTAACGCTGATAATTATGTCTTGCTTTTTGTAATCAATTGTTGTATATCATATTTATTACATAGTAAAGAAATCGGCAATTCGTACATTTGGTATGGTGTCAGCAAAACCACACAATATGGCATGCATTGAAAACAACACCTTATTCAAACAAAATGCAATCAACTTGCATGGGCTTTGTATAAAGAAAGAATGGTTTCAGTGAATACCAAACAATTAACGAGAACCACACAAACTTCCTGCACTATGACATATCATGCAAACGTTTTTTTTTTGCAAAAATATCTGTCCAGTTAATCTGAAACTTCATCAGATAGATAAAATGATGACACATGAACAAATGCAAAGAGTGGTTTAGAATGGTAGAGAAAATCTGTCCAATTTTAAAAATAAAACTCAAGAATTCTCGAATAGAGCACTGAAATGATAGGGAAAAAAACAATAGAAAACTTTCTCAATTTTCTCAATTTTCTTCTAAGTCGTTTTAAGTAGATGTGCGCAGTTTTCAGGTAGTTTTTCTGTCACCTTTGTCACATGTAGACTCAAATCTCAAACGAACAATCACAAACTGAAAGAGAATGAAACATGGGTCACGTCCACCGAATACGAGTTAACAATGGACTGTGTTGCTTCTGGAAACATTTCGTATCAACTTTCTTCAATGCCAGCTCTACGTTTGAACGTTTTGTAAGGGAAACACTAATAATTTAGGTCGTTTTGTTTACTACTGTATGTGTTTGGGGTATTGTATGTATGTGGAATAATGTACAAAGAATGCTCGTTTAAGTTGCAGTTTTTGATACTCAATTTCATGGAAAGGTGGTGGGTGGTAATCGCATCTCACACTATCGACTTGATAATGCCATTAAACGCAAACACTACGTAACCGGGTTTTTTCTTAAAGAACCAATCCTAACAGTTCGCTAATTATAAGATGTGATCACGTCAGTATTTGATTTGATAGCTTTTCTGGTATGTGGGTCTGTTTTTTAGAGATCTTTTTAATTAAAATCAAAGTTGTCTTGATTTCCCTTTCATAATTTGTTCATTTCTTTCACATGCTAAGGTATGTTTTCTTGGGGTTTAAATGAACAAGTAGAAAGAAATGCTTGTCGTTGTGTTGGATACCATGGAACAGACAAGATTTTGAAGTCAGCCAAAGTATCCTAATAATGCTGTCAATCAAAAACATGGAATTCGTGTTTTGCGGCTCATTTCTGATATTTTGTTTATTGTTTTTGTTTATTATTTGTGTATACAGGCTAGAAAAACCTCATCCATTACGAAGTCCCGTGAGAAGTCGACCTCCTCTCCTGCGTGCGTTCACCATCTCATCTATTCCTGTTGAAGGAAATCAGTCTCAAGTCAAGAACGGACGACATATGTTTAAGGCTCCGCTTAAACTCAAGTTTTCTCTCTCAACTAAAAGTAGGTCGGCAAAAAAACACACAGCGCAATACATATTGCGACAGTCTGAGCTTTGTTTTCCGTCTAACTGTTTGTGTTGTTGACTGTGGTCAGGCGCAGCATGGCGACTAGAGGATGACCATGAAGCACCAGTCCATAGTTACTTAGATGAGGGTCCAATCGGCTACACCCCTGGCGGCCTATACTTTATGAATAGCATTGGATCGGGTACGCTAACAAGGAAAATATCAACAAGGCTCTTGGTAAGTAAACTGTAGACGACGCGAAAATGTAAAAGATAGGAATATAACATAAAATATCGATATTTTTTGTAGAATGGTTCCAATACCGATGCTGAGTCGTCGAAACACAGTAGTTCAAGCGAAGGCTCGGACTTGTCAATCAACTCACGAAAGTACGTTGTACCCAATTTTCTTATCAAATCTTTCACATTCGTTTGCTCATTTATTCATTTCTTTAAATAATTTCTTGCATTTAATTGTTACTGCATTCAATGCTCACTCATACATTCTTGCATTCAATTATCTGTTAACATTATACGCCCGTCATTCGTAGAGTTTTTTTTACCGTTGACATTTGTTGAAATTCATCCTTTATTTCTTCCAGAACCAGTGGAATTGTCAAATTAGCTCGAAAGCTTAGTCAAAGAAGAGAAAGAAAAACTCAATCCACACCAGAAAGGTTGGTGTCAATTATAAAATATGGAAAAACAGTTATGACGATTTTAACTTCACTTTCTTTTTTTTTCTTTTTTTTTTTAGAGTGCAAGTTCGTTCCCAAAGCCTTGAAAATATTCCATCGCCGACGGACGAGTCGTCTGTGACTGGTAACAATAATATGGGTTCTATCAAGTCTCCTGGTCTGTATAGAACAATGTCTTTAAATCATCGACCATCACCTCGACCGCGTCTTACTTCCCTGGAAAATCGATTTAGTGGGAGTAATAGAGGTAATTAGTCCGCGGTTACATATATTGTTATCTGGCATAGACATGAAACCTCTCTAAACGAACTTGTTTACTTTTCACAGAAAATCGTTTTAGTGGAAGTAATCGAGGTGAGTATGTAGCTCGTCAATACGAACAGAATACCTCATTAGACCGACCGTAAGTGAGGAATAATGTCGATCTTTTAACTTTTCTCTAGATTTAAAAGAAAAAACAAGAAAACGAAAGGAAAATAGTATCGACAGTAAGATAAGAACAGACTCGMCCGTCAGTGAGGTATTTTAAATGTAATGCTAACGCGTTATTCATTTATTGACAGGTTTAATCGACTCGGTTGTTTGTCAAGATATCGATGATGTCAGAACGATTCTTGAGACAGAAGACCTGGATGTTAACAAGTAAGATGCTCTTCCTCCTTATGTCTCCTTGGGTCTTTCTTGCTCACCTGTCTTTATTTTCAGGTTAAATGCAGAAGGTTTTGCCCCGTTAGATTTCGCTGTGTTACTTGGTTTTTATGAYATTGCCAAGCTATTACAAGCTTACGGTGCACAAGAAAGTCCCAGATGTAAGTAAAATCGCCGACTGCACATGCGTGAAGACAAGCGATAACTTTTTTAACTTTTTTTCCAGTACAAAGTAGTTTCTTTGAAAAACACCTAAAGATGCTGATCAACGAGGCAGAGCATAAAGTAGAGGACCTCACTTTATCAGTAGTGCACGCCACTAACAGTAACAGCTCAGAAATTAAGGTCAGTAGACTTTTGAATCTCCGTATTTCATTCGTGTAATGCCGTTCTTTTTTAGTCATTTTCCCATTTCATATCTATTTGTTCGTTTTTCTGCCCTACTCGTCTTCACCTTCCCAGTCATTCACTTTGTGCCTGGATTTCTCTTCATATACAGGAAACGGAGCGTCAGTTAAAGGAATGGGAATGGACACGATTGACTCTTAGACGAATGCTCATTGGTTTGAATAATTCTGGTAAATGTTTCAAGTCTCTTAAGATAAATTACAAACCAGTACTAATTGTGTCGTTTGGTATTCAGATCTTCCTGGTCAACCTGTCAGCGTTACACTATCTGTTGCGTCAGAGGACTCTTTACTTGTCAGGTTCACTGAACCGATTAACAACGAAGCTATATTCACCAAGTACAAAAGTGAGTCACAGAATGTCTACCTCCCTTTCTTCTCTGCATCCTTTTCAAATGCTCACTTCTTCAATTTTAACCATTTTTGCAGTTCAGTGGAGTCGAAATGAGAACTTTATTCCTTTGGAAGGAGAATACGTCTTGACGGATGTTCGAAATCTCGAATATACAATACCTAATCTTCAAAAGGTAAAAACTAATAATGTTTCTACCAAGTGGCTGTTTTTGTCGACTGCGCATGCTTGATATTATCGATCCTTTATCTTTCAGTCTGTTCTGTACTTCGTGCGGGTTTCCTGTGGAAATCTCAAAGGTTTTGGTACTTGGTTGGGCTCAACCCCTCCGTCGTCCATGCCATCAAGTACATAAGTAGAATATACTAGTATATGTCCACTCGACGATTCATAAATTCATCAAACTGACCATTATTAATCATTTGTTGATTGATGTTGTCATTAGGCTGGCATGAAGTTGATGACTCTAAGCCTCGTTTCCAGGGAAGACTGAGTGTTATCGATAACTTGTTCAGTCGTGTTTGGATGAGTCATGAAAGACATCCTACAAGCAGCGATAGTAAGCGACCACGCAGTGGTAACTACGACAGTGTCAACGGTACAATTCTCAGATTTGGTTTTAGACTCGGTTGAAATTTGTTAGAATAACTATTAAACGTGTTATTTTAGTCAACGAAGGATCGATGTCACCAAAGTCTAGTCGAAAAGAATCAGTAAAAAAGAGTCTTTCCAAGTACACAAACATCTTCTTTCAGTCCACACCAAAATTCATCAAAAATATGAAGAGGTGAGTAGACCGGCAAATGACATGAGGAGAGCAGTGAGGACAAATAGATGGTAACACTTGACAAATAAAAATGATAAACTAGTGAGCCTTTTGTTTGTTTTATGTGTTCCAGGGGGGTGTACCTAGCCGCTATCATGTATACAAGTGATGATCGTGTATTGGTGACGTTTGATGACAGTATTCCTACCATTGAAGTCGACGACAACTATCCACCAACATTTCTGCAAGACTTTTGTTGGCTTATGAAAGTAAGTTTTTCATGTTGAATGCATTATTTTGTCAGTCAATGCATGGGGGGAGGTTTCTTCATGATAAATATGTCTAAGATAAGCACGTGAAGTTTCCTCCTTTGATGTAAAACACTGTCGACAAGTGTCAGCGGTGTATTTATAAAAATTGACATGCACGATCGAGTAAGGTTATTCCATCAGCATATGATASTGATGACGCATATAATATGACGCTTTAGATCGCTTGTACGTGGAAAGATGTTAAAAGAATAAAACAGGAAGTCGAGAAGAACCCAGCATCCACTTCGGTCTTGTTTAGATGCAAGTTATTGAATGCAGTTGATGCCTTTCAGGTAATGAACGATACATTAATGAAACAAGTTAACCTTACGTAAACTTTATTCTGAGTACTAAATAAAAATGATGAATTCCATTTAAGACTGCGCTTGGAAAACAAAACCTTGGTCAGTTACACTACAAAGCCGTAAAAGATCGTAATGGAAGCACGGTTATCGTGACAGTCAACTGTCTAAATGTAAGCTTTGCTAAACTGTTACCTCGCACCTCATGAAGCTTATAACTCCTGTTAGGCATAATTGATTAGCTTTTGTTCAATACTTTCAGCACGCCAGCGCGTTTCGACCCAGAATAATGGCCCTGAAGTGGACATCGCTTATCAAACTTCAAAAGAAAGCAAGTTTCCCTATCAACCTTCCTGCAGATCTTTGTTACGCATCCGATATGTTGATAACCAGTATCAAGGTAATTTCCGTTCTTTCTTTCCCTTTCTTTTTTCTTTGCTTTTCTCACCTTGTCAGTGGTTGAGAGACTTTAAGGTTATAGCAGTCTTCAGGTAAGTTTAGTTCCTCAATTGAATTCGATCGCGTTTGCCATTGGGTCGGTCAGTCACCTAACTTAAAAACGATTTTGTTCCGTTGACTAGGAGATCTGTTATGAATACAATTTTTGATTTTTTTCAGGAAAAAGTTGAATACTTCCAACAGAGTCGTAAATCGCTCGAAAGGTAAAACGCTTTGTCCTTTAAAGTATGTAGTGGTGCAATCAATGTATATCTATTGTCAGCAGGGGAATGTAAGTTTGTTATTGAGTGATTCAATGAATCATCTGTTCACAGGGGAATGTACATAGGCTACCTGAAGCTTCGTACCTTTGTCGATGCCATTCACGTGGTTGTCAATGAGACCTGTCCCAATGTTCTTCCACATGTCAAGATACGCGACAACCCCAATGTATCGAGAGAGGAATGGCAATGGCTGCAGAGTATGGATACTTTAGGTGTAAGTAAACAACTTATTGCGTGTGCTTCCTATATATCCAAAGCCCCTGCTACCTATACTTCATGATGACCAAACTTTGTTGCTCAGGAACGCACCTACGAACCGACCAAAACTGCACACGACTTTCAACTGCTCGTCGCTCGAGCTGCAGAAATTCTGATGGAAGAAGTTGGTGTCAGCAAAGAGGTAAGACCTTCTTCATTAAGTTTACATAATGTGACTATTTCATATATTTCCAGCTGACACAATATTTTCGTAGGCATCCAAGCTTCATCGTATTTACGATCGTGAAGTAGTTGAACTGGACGAAAATGTTTCGTTTTTGATCGTTTTCCCGCCACCAGAAGACGTTTGCAGCGCACCAGGACAAGTTGACACTCTGACTCACCGGAAGAAATATATCTCACTTCCTGTCCAGACATTTGAAATGAGTATGTTTCAGTTTAAATACTGTTTTAAGTTGCCATTAGTTATTGATGTTGTTACTGTTTTAGTTCATATGTGTACCTACCAATCGGATTTTATATCCCATTATTCACGATTATCATCGGTACTCGACATGGACTCTGTGCTTGCCCAGCAGTCGTTACGTGAGGTAAGCATGTCCCCTCCTCTCAAAACATCCTATATACAATCTGTATGGCTGCAATGCTTTTTGATTTAGCTATCTTGTTGTATATTGCACTGTGTATTGCACTGTACTATTTATACTGTAAAACTACTGTCAATTCCGCAGGCATTCTCATCAGGTGAAATAGAGAAAGCCAAGCAGCGACAAGTACAGCTAATGGAATTTCAAAGGGTAAGATATATGCTTTATAATGTTTTTAAAACAACTTAGAGTCAACGCACTTGTAYCGTGAAACATAATCAAAGAAGTAGTAACCATTAGGGTTTTTTTACTGTCTGATTGTATGTAATAGTAGATATCCGCACTGAATTAAAGCAATTCATGAAAACAAAAGGTAATACACAAGAGACTTGGAAAGCCACGCAATGGCACACAATTATTTTGCTTTCATGAATTGTTCTGGTTCAGTGATATCCACTATTAGTCAGTAAATAGACACTAATAGGTACTGTTGATTTTGATTATATTTCACGGTACAAGTGCGTTGACTCTAACGATTTCAGGAAAACAGCCATCAGGGTTAGTACTTTACTTAACCAATTTGGGATGACAAGCGTTCATTCATGCTCAGATTGCACAATTTATCTCAGAACGTAATTTTGCGGTCTTTTCTCCAAGAAATTCAAAGGGTTGCGTTTTAGATCAGTGTTGAAGTCACACTGAAGTAAGCACGCGTATCGGACTGGTATCTAGTGGTGTCTTTGTCCGTGAGGAGAATGGCAATAGCTATAATCTTTACCCTCTTTATTATGTATAAGTGAGTGAAGTGAGTTCTAGTCTAATGCATCCTTAGGATTAACAATTCGTTTATGTCTATCGTAAATAAACTGCATCATATTTGGTGGTAAATTATACCCAATAGCAAAAAGCTCCTGGAACATGTCATTCTTCCAGGACTGTATTTCATATGGAGTGYTGGGAGAGATATGTGTGACACTATGGCTAATGTCAGTCGGTTCTGCTTGAAGCCTACTAACAATAACTCCAATATAAACATCTTCAATGTCAAACCTGGGCAGAATATYTTCTGTTCGTATAATTTTGGTCAGTAAATCCCTTGAAAGGATGTAAAATGCTCCAGAGCAGTAATCTGGGAATGTTTTTTCGGGGTATTCTTGTTCACTTAGGTACCATTTACTTTGCAAATCACGAGAAACTTCAACTTTTCTATGCACTCTGCCAGCGTAGAGCGAAGATGTGATTTCTAATGAATTCAACCATGGTAATAGTTTGGRTAAATGTATGTACACGTCGTGTTGTACTTTTATCATGAATTTAGGCTGAAATTCAACTGCAATTCGATAAGCGTGAAGCAAGCTTCGTATGCCATATCTTTTCTCGTCTTCATTGAAAGGAACTCGYAGAATATCCGGGTATTGTCTTGCTTCTCTGTTGACATCACGATCTAAATGGATACTTCTGGTGCAACCGATAACGAATACAAGATGAATGCTTGATTCTTGCTTTAGGGATTTAGCCCAAGTCTCTCTTATAGCCTCTCTACTGTCTTCGTTAAGTGATCGACTTGTGACGATAATCATGAGGAAGATTTTAGCTCCTGGTGTTACTTTAGGTTTGATGGGAATACATATGTATGTTTTGTTTTCCTTGGTTATAGTCATGTCTTGGTTGGAATTATAAAACCAGCCATAAGAATAGTTGTCGACATCAAATGGTATAACCTGTGACAGAACAAGTAACAGCAATATTGTGCCTTGTATAAGAACTACAGCGTAAAAGATAGAGTTCTTGGTTAACATAATGGTTGGTTCTTTTTCTTGTGTAGTAATTTGCATAACGATCGTGTTTGCTTATGAATATTCGGATGATRTGCGTTCGACCGTGCAACGACTACACTCTGAGAGGAATGGGCTTGAATCGTTTTCTTTTGCAGCTGTTATTTTGATTATTATCAGTTTTGTGGCCAACATCTAACCTAACCGTTTTATTTCATATTTTTCAGTTTATAATTGGTCAGGGTTTTATCTTGTTTCTTCTTGCCGRCCAAACAATATTAAGTTCTTAATCTAAACTATTTTCAGTTTTTCGATCTACAATAACAGGTGTCTAGCAAGTATTTTCCATGTGCTTTCGCCGTTGATAAACTTGCACAATAGTGCCTTACAAGTATTTGTTTTGACTGCGAAATAATAACGACCTAATCTCGATTCACTGTCGTTTTMCTTTACAGGAACTCGATGAGACGTGGAAAGGTATGCGGTGGATTCTCGATGCTTTGCATTATGCACGTGATCGTCAAGTTCGTGGSGGTATACCGCTRGTTGAAGTATTCAAGTTCTCAGCTTGTCACATGAGGAAGACTGGTTCATCGGGTAGTAATTCAAGTAAGTAAATAGCTGTATTTTTAGGTTTTGAACGACTGTAAGAGGTTTATAGGGTTCAGCTATAGGATCTCTCGCCTGTCACAACCTGCTCTGCAAGCACTTCTCAGCCTTGTAAATATATAAAAATCTACTGAATTTCTTTTTCCCCTCAGTGGATTATTCCTTCTCTTCTTTTCTGGAATTCTTTATCTCTGTTTTAAGGTCCCAAACCCAAAGACGGCGTGGTCAAAGTTTTCTCCACGCGTGAAACCGGTTTACCAGCGGGTGCAGAAGTCACGGTATCAACTTTCTAATTTTTTTTAATTCTTCTTCTTGTCAGCTCTGTAAGTTGCCCTAATGCTATACCTAACCAAACTTGCACTGTGTAACCAAGCCTAATCTATGTCTTGCACTTACTTTTACGTGTTTACCTTCGTGACCTATTCTAATGTTTATTGCGTGACCTATTTTAATGTCTATTGCGTGACGTATTTGCATGTTTATTGCGTTACCTATTTCACAAGCCTGATTAATTATGTGACCGATGTTTTTAGCAACTGTATTTAAATGTTAACGTGTATCGATGTTTCTAATATTCATCATGTCCAGTGCCTTTGAAGTGGTTAGTTAATCTGTTCTTTGCTGTGTTTATATTGCGTGACCAAGTCACAATGAGCGATGTTAGTACCTGGTCGATTCAAAAAGTTAGCGTCACTAAACCTGTGAAGAATGTTATCTTTCAGTTTTAGTCAAGCAGTTTTAGTCGCCATGTTGGATATTACAAAGCTGTATCTCATTGTCTCTTCAACAAGGAGGCTTTGTTATTTTTATTCTCCGGTAATTTTTTATGGTCATCAATCGAGGAGATAAAACGGTTTTTCTTGTGTTTTCAGCTTCACATAACACCCCAAACAACTGCCAATGAAGTTGTTGCTATGGTAATACAACAATTGGAGAAAACCTGTGAACAACGAAGAAAAATTTGTCAAAATATTCGTGAAACTGAGTACAAAAACTACTGTCTTGTCGCTGTTGTTGGTTCTCAGGAAAAATGCTTCAGTGATGATTTTAAACCTCTTGAACTTCAAAATCCTTGGAAACGAGGAAAACTTTACGTCAGGTTAAAAACTTCAGCAATGGCTGCCACTAACTTTGGTCAGTTTACAAGTGTCTAATTATCCGGCTGGGCCTGGGTATTAGTGCATTCTCTTTGTTTAGTTATCAAAAAAGCCTTCTTAAACCAAGACTCTTCTCGGTGTATACCAAACGAACTACAGTGTGAGTTGGGCTTGGTGCTAGAATTGTCCAATAGTAAGAATGTAATTCAATTAAGTAAACAGGTTAATAGGTAGGGAGAGATTTCTATATGAAAATTCCAGCTAAAATTCTGTTAAATAACAAGGCGAATGCGTGACATTTAAAACCCATATATGGCAATGTAGGAACAGTCTTTTAGTGTCCAGACCACAGTGTTTATTTAAAAAGATTTCTATACATATATTTCTATCTTAAAATGAAATGCAATCGAATAACAAAATGCATGTATATATTAAAATATTGAAAGCAAGTCAAGTCAATTTGACTTAACATTAAATAATCGAGAGTTTAATATAATGATCACATGATATGGTTTGCATGACGACTTTTTTGAATACAATAAAGGGCTTGTTATGACTGAGTGACAGGCAGAGTGGCTAACGGGATATAGACAGCCATTGCTTATTATGTTTGAATACGTTTATAAGTATTTCTCATGAATAGAGTGTAGTCGGCCTTAAAAGACTGCATTCTATATTCAGGAAGACCAATTTGAGATCATTCAACCATTCAATTCATGGAACGTGTCAAAGTATTCTAGGGGATGGTTTGCGCATGTCCAGTTGGTCTTCCTTGATAGTGTGTTTGTATACTTGAGTTATTTATTGATAGTTGATGAGGTAGTTAGATTGTTAAAAAACAAATAAATCAGATCTATTTACTTAATGATATCATTGATTTCAACAAGAAAATATGGGATATCTGTGCCGAGGGACGTTATTTTGTTACTAGAGTGCCCTCTGAACGATACGTTTGCTCTTCAGTAATTGATCATTAACCATATTGGTAACCTTCTCAGGAACTTGCTAGTTTCATAGAGGGCAAATCTCTAACGTGGTTGCTATTTCAGTTGCCGGTATATTTCATTTTTAAAGACGATGGACAACGAGATGAATGTAGTCTTTGACGTCTAACTGTATTTCCCTCCAAAGTCATATCTGTACCAAGGCGCAGGCAACAGTTACCTATTGCTGTAACGGACGAAGTCCCTCTTAATTTGCTATTTCGTGTCAGGTAAGGTTTTTTGGTACTTCGGGTTTTGTGTCGTAGATAGAAAAATCCATGTGAGATTTTATTGCGCAAACTTTGCTAGCCGTGTTTACTTTGTTCTTGAATCGAAAATCGGCGTAATTTTTTTCTCACATTTCTAAAAATATCTGTCTTATATTAAAGATTTATGATGTTGTTATTTGGAATGGTAATAACAATGTGTGATAGAAAGTATTCACCTATGTCAGAGTAACTTTTCTTCTATCTCCTGTCCAGCTCAAGTATATTTGACCAACAGTTTTGTACCGCATTAAATTAAAAAAGAAACTTTACTAGATGCAAACAACTCGGTTTCCTTTATTTAAATGTCACTTCATTACTTCCTTATCGCTTATGCAAGGCTTCGACCTCCAATTTTGCAAAATATCCCAATAAAGATCGATTGTCGGCCATTGATGTATCCACGTTGACAATATATTGTCGCGATTATTTGCATGATGGAGTGACATTTTTTTCCTGATTGAATAGAGCCTGTCTCTTGCCAGGACCCACAGTGCGAATATTTCATTAATGCTAATAAAGGAAACAGAAAGCTGGATGTTCAGTGGTTTTAAAAGTGATAAGGGAATATACAATCTGGTCATGCCATATATAGATATACAATCTGCGTCAAGGCAGGTTTTCTCAGGTGCAATGGCCATTACTGGACGTCATTATCGTTTATTACCTGTCATCTTTAAGCATTCAGTTTTTATCGTAATTAGGAGCAATAGGATTCACAGCATTTATCCTTACTGGTTGTGTGGAGCTGACGGAACAGAACTCGTCAAATTAGTACACTGACTCAAGGGGCGGTACACAAATAGTACATTCATTATGCAGTATATGTTCAAGCTCCGACAACCGGGATACATTCAAGCTCCGACACCCGGGATATAACGCGGCATTGCCGGCGGTGATTCAAGGGAGATGTCGTACTTTCTGACATGAGAACCTTTAAACTGAAAAGATATCATACACGGGACCGGAAGAGAATAAATAGAACAGACGGCTAAAAAAAAACTACTGAAAAGGAACCGGTCGATATTGAGCAGTCCTGCGGCTTATACATAACTTACAGATAAAATAGTTACGGTATTATTGTTATTAGTATCATTTTGTCTGGCTGCAGGCATTCCGTTGGGTTCGTTATCTATGTTTTCCAGGTATTGATATTTACTTTATTATGGTGTTATCAGACACCAACACTGTCCAGATAATAAGTAACAACTGTTCTAAGAAACTGCGGTGAAAAACTCTTAGCCTTCGCTTTCCTATAGTTAAAAATTATTGAGTATTAATTTGAAAATAAGAGTGTAAAATGCATGGAAGCCTAGAGTCCGCACCTGTAGGGTAAGATCTCTTCATGATTCCAATCTATCATTGTGTGCAGATAATACAAACAGTTTAATCAGGTAAAAGATATATCCATTCAGTTGTAAAACACCGGTAGTGAAAAACACGGCATTTACGACCGACAAGCGGTGCCTTGTATGTGTTTGGTAGCGGTTTTCTTTGTAGATGTGGATTGTTTTGAGATGTACTGTAATAACACGATTAATCACTACTGAACACATCCGCTCTACTTCTTGTTAGTAGTTGCCATGGCACCTGAACATAATCACTCGCTTGTGCGCTCGTCACACAAACGTTTGGCGGGAAATTCACATCAAAATGGATAATAGTTCGCGAAGAACATCACTAACGATTTTCTGTGAAACACCTTAATTTATAAACTTACTTTCAGTATTGGGCTTCCTGTGTTTTAAATAATGTCAGTTTTAGGCGCCTGTTAAGTGTAGACAGGCTTCTCCTGACCACTGATGTTTGAGATATAATTTTCTTGCAGTACAGATCGACAGATAACAGTTTCTTAGCGTCACATCCTACTCGCTGTCAAGACGCGGATTTGATAAGCAAGTTTTCTCAGCTGACGTACCACGATCACCATTGCGTAAAAATCAATTCGAGATAATAAAACATGGTGTTTCACGTTTTCAGTGAGAATTGAGGCTCTGAAATTTGATGTAGCCATAAGGACAAGGTCCATTTACTTCCTTTTATTAAAGTCTTTTTTTGTATTATGCACAAATGTCTATCATTTGATATTTGTAAAAGTCTTAAAATCGTACCCGACATAAGAGACGGTTGATGTTATCACTAGCCTACATTTTAGTAGCGTAACATCTTTTGACTTGCTCGATTACATATGATTATGATGAGAGGATGGCAATGTTCACGCTAACCCTAATATAAAATAGGGATAATACAAAATTTCGAATTGAATACAATTTTTGCGATAATTAAAAAACTGTCATTTTCAATGTCAGCCAGTAATTAGGAAACCATCATCCTCAAGGAAAGAATGCGTCAAATGGCTGACAGTAATGAAAAAGTGTAATCAAACTTTACAAATGAAAATATAGTATATGATTCCTTTATAATAGGCATCTAATTAAACTTCCCTTGGAGTCAGTTATTAGCAACATAAAACAAGACTCTTCAATCTAGAATTCCAAGAACATTCGCTACAATTCATGTAGTTATTGGCGAACAAAGGAAAACAAACGTGTTTTTTGGCTAAGGGATTTGAATAATATAGTATCATTGTCGTCAAGGAGACATGATATGATACTGACCAACTCATGTTTTACTTAACGATATATATTGAATTCACTGTGAAGTAAGACCCAAGAGACCTTTGCAGTCCAGCGCGTAGAGTAACTCCTAATTTTATTATTACATTTTTTGAAAGCAAAAGCAGCAGTGGAAAGGGTTGTTGTTCGTGTTATCTGTAATTTCATGGTTTGGTGTAAATTCTGAAATTGTAGAAAAGAATAGATTCATTTCATCATTCTTCCGCTCAATTTGCCTCACGGCTCAAACCTCAGCGGCATTTCAATCAAATAACAATGAATTACATTAAATGCAAGTCAATTCATGGTTTGTTATTGAAAAAAGGCAAGGAAAAAACCATAAAATAAGGAGTAGTTGTTATTACTTTTGTTCATTTCTTAGCCTGATTATCGTGAGTTCGCCAATTACAGAGCAACGTATATTTGCGTGTCTTCGCGTGAAACGAGCGTTACGTGATCATTTGCATCCCATTCGACATGCAATTCTATCGTAGCATTTGATTTGTTAAGAATATTGTATTTTCGATGGACACTTTTACGTGGGCACTTGTCGCAAAAGGTACTTTAGCCGTAAGGTCTCGTCCAATGAATGAACCCTGATTCGTTTCTAATGGACATTTGATATTTGAACAGTTTACAATGGTATACATCGTCTTTTGCTCTTAATGATCAACAATATCCGCCAAGAGAAGCCCATAGAGATTGGTTGAAATCATTTCTTATGTATTTATTGACAGACAAGCGCTGTACTCTGGTTCGTAGACCTGCCCATTTTATTATCACGGTACTTATCGTGGCAAGAGACTCAGCTCTGGGGTTTTACTTCCTCAAAGATACAAGTAAGCCATATCACCTTCTGTAGAAGTGTGAAATAGCTGGCGTTCAAGTGGGTTGTAAACACTGTCTTTATGAACTTTAAACACAATATACCTCGAGGAACTGACTACAGCACAACTCAGGGTAAGGAAGCTCGCTTAAGAAGAGGAATATATTGTGGTTAGTTACCCGTCATTTATCTAATCCACCTGTGCATGACATGTAAAACTCAGATGTGTGGTCGTGTTGTGGTGAGAGGTGAGGTTTTGGAAGCAAACATACTTTGATTTTTGAAATTTACTGAGTTAAAAATGTATGAAGCATAACAAGAGATTTTGAGTTAACGTTAGAAGATTTGCTATATTGTAGACCTAGAAAACACTTAAACCGAATTTTTTTGTTCACAAAAAGACAGTAAACATGCTAATGGAACTGTCAAATGCGTAGAGAAAGAAACTGATTCAAATGAGCTGATAACGACATATTGTAGTCATCTTCCATCGGAAATTTCGTGTTTTGTTATTTTTCATTTAATTTAAGAACCTTTAAACATGCCAACATAAAAAACTAAACTAGCCATTCATTAAAAACAGCCAAAAAACTTGATTTATAGGCTGATGCTCTTTTACTCTGAATGATCTCGCTAGTTTCTAGCGAACTAATTTTGAGAAATTGTATTTGTTGTCCTTGACTTTTTATGGACTGAACGACTTCACTTAATGTCGACATAGTCATCTTTGAAACAATTGCTTTTTTATTTTTCTAAATATCCTCCTTTATTTATCTCAAGGATTTTGTTTTGAATCTTTTAACGAGAAAATGTCACAATTTTGTAATCACTTTTGATGAAAACTAACATATACCAGAATGCCGGCGCAAGAAAATGAACCTCGAGGCAACAAAAAGCCATTAGTTACCATCTCTAGTTTGAAAACACCAAATTACAAGTGCAAAACAAACTAGACACAAGCTCAATATAGCAGTATTCCTAGACTTGAATAGTTAGCGTGGATTGACATRATTTATTTTATTCTTGATAAAGAGGTGCAAGGATAGTTTTGTTCGATTGACACGATGACAAGTTGTATTGAGCTTTGCGCGCGCTTTCTTGCACGAACTCAAAAATCTAGCGGAAATTGTACACAAAAAGGCAAGAACCTGACATTTTGTAAACACTTCG